CCCTTTTAAGAACATGTCTGAGACTTTGTGGCATATTTTTGGCAGAGCATACCATGAATAATACTACCATGTGTCCAGGATTTTGACACAACTTTAACTCCTGGTTTGTGGCTGTCTCCAAGACAAGGTCACCCAAATTCCAACAGAAAATGCGCAGCGCAGTTTTCAGAGCAGGTCTTATCCAGCTGTTGGTGTCTTTACTTTCAACTAAGGGCACCCATCCCCCTTACCTCTCAATGCCTCACTTCCCTGTGATCTCTCTGTAGCTAACACGGAGAGGATAAGCCTTTCAAAATCTCACTTTGCCTGAAAGGAATGTTAACGTTTCTTGCAATATTGTTTTTATTTCTTCTCAAATGATTCTCCACTTTATACTGGGTTTGTGGTATACAGTGCACTAAATGCTGAAAGTCACTGGGAATGAATCTCTGGATAGCAGCCATACTGTGAAGGACTAGGTGGCATCAGTGGGACTGGAGACATTGGTTTTGTTTCTAGTCCTGCTGATGCTTTGCTCTGTGAGCTCAGGCAAGTCTATTCTCCCATCTGTAAAAATGGAATGGACAGGATTTCCATCACTGCAAAACATTTGGTACTGCAGAGATGGAAATTCTAGGTAAAAGCTTTTAGTTGGGCGTTTGTTTATGGCTGGAAAGACAGTGCTACCTGCACTGTGAAGTTTTCTCAAGGAGTGAAATGAAGGGGAAGCACTAAAATCCTTTTCATGTGGGATCCCTGTGGGCAGTGGGAGCTGCTGAAGGACCCCACTGGTCGTGTCTGCATGCTGCTTTGCTGCACCCCGACCTGGTGAGGAAGACTTGTGGGAAGGTGGACCCCGACAACACTCCTCAAGGGGAGTACAATTTCATCAGGGCCAGGGCTCAACTGGCTGTTTCAAGTTGCAATGCGGCGAGTACCTTACCAGAAGGTTTTAATACCAGTGCTAGAATTCACCGAAAAGGGGAGAGTAAATATTTTCCCTGAATGCTCCATTTTTGTCAAACGATAGAAAACCAGTTCTGTTTTACTTCAAAGCTTTGCTGAATTTTTTTGGCTTTTGCCTAAGAGGAGATGATGTGTTTGGATGGGGGTTTGTTTAATTTTTTTTTTCCAAATTGAAAATTACTATAGAAATCAATCATACCCTTTGAGAAGTAGTTTTACACTGAAAATTACCAGTCAGCACTGATTAATACTATTCAGTCAGGTTCTTGTTTTTGTCTGCAGTAGAAACAATACTTACCATTTTGTGTCCCTAGGCTGAGCCCAGATTGAAAGACCTTTTTCAAAAACTGGTCTTGATCATGCTCTCTGAAATCAGTGGATGGGCTATTTGTGTAATTAGACTCCAAGATAGCCAATGAAGAAACCGAGAACGACAAGTGAAGGAGCTGGCTTACAGCTAAAGCAGCACCTCGTATCAGGATGGACAACAGGACAAAGTGGTGCTGTGATTGAGCCCTTCTGCCTTCAGACAATGCCCTGCTTTCTCCAGTACATCCTAGGCGAGCTCTGAAGGCTATCCAGAGGTTCCCAGATTTTAGTCACTTTTTTTCTGAAGGGTCCTTCAATGTCTGTATCATGGAATGGTTTGGGTTGGAAGGGACCTTAAAGATCACCTAGTTCCAACTCCCCTGCCATGGACAGGGACACCTTCCACTAGACCAGGTTGCTTAAATGCCCATCCGACCTGGCCTTGAAGCCAAACCACAGTTCATGCCTTCTTGTTTGGAACACCCATTGTCAACAATGTGTTGTTTTTGCAGTCTAGACAATGCTGGTGTCATGATGAGAAGCAAGCGCTTAGCTATGTGTACGATGGTGTATGCCATTGAGAAAAAGCACTTGGGTTTATTCCAGTAAATCTCTGATTCAAGGGATATTGCAGCAATGATTATTCCACACTTAAAAAAAAAAAAAATGGGCTGCTCTGTTTTTGAAAACTTACACATTTTTTCCTCTATTAAATTGCTTCCTGGTGATGGAAATGTCTGGGATTTTTTTTTTCTACTGCATCTACTTTCCTTTAGTTTGCACATCCCTGAGGTAATTAGTGTAGGTTAAAATTTACATAACTGACTTTGGGGTTTTGCAAATAGGAAAGATGGAAATTTATTCAAGGTGGTGAATAATTCATTTTAAAGCAAGTTTCCTGTTTTTTTTTTAATCATGTAGAAGATGTATTACAGACTCATAGAGGTTTTCTGAATAGAACCCTAAGCATTGAATTTTTTATATACTTCATTTCTTAGTGTAGGTAAAGAAATATTAACCATGACTCATTGAGCTTTTCCTCTTCAATAAGATTTGAATAAACTTAGCAAATTTATTAGGTAGATGATAGTGCTTTTTAAAAATTATCATGACACACTGTGACAAATATTTTACTAGGATCCAGAAGAAATAGTTTTAAATCATATTCCCATTGCTACTTCAGAGGCAGAGAGATGGAAAACAGTGCAGTTCATACAGAAAACCATGATTCATATTTTCTTTTGAATATTCATTAATTAATTAAGATTAGGAGGATAAACAAGGTGATTGGACAGCTATGGGAATCTGGTAATACAATCATTTTTTTTAAAAAAAAACTTCTCTACTTCTGGCTCAATGTAAGCCTGGACTGGTGATGTCTGAACATTGTTGTAATATTGTGGCTACTTGATACTTCATATGAAGTGTGCTTTCTATTTCATCTTATTTCTTAATCTAAGTGCCTACCTCAAAAATTGCTATACCAGGCATCACCAAGAGCTGCATCTAGGAGAAAAAATACGAACCAAGCCCTCCTCCCACTTTCTGAACTTTAGCTTTAACTGTCTCAGCCCAAAACTTTAAACCCCTTCCCATCTGCCACCAAACTCTGGAAACACCTGACATTTTTGGTTGGCAGCATTCTGCCATTGAACCTTCTCAGAGGCTCTGAGCTCTGTTGCTGGGCACCCTCCCAAATGCCCCAGCCATGGAAGTCTGGTGCCTGCCCCTTGCAGGTGTGGTGAACTGGTACTTGCTGCAGCTGGGACAGGTCCCCTATGCCTGCGGGAGCACATCTCCGTGGGGCAGCTGGGGAGGAACAACCTGACCTTCTCTTGGTGCTTTCCCGGGTGGCTACAGCCCCCACTGGACTGTGGGAAGTCGCACAAGGGTTGGTCCTATCACCCTAACCATACAGCTACCAGCTCTGCTGGAGCAGATTCTGGACCAGAGCCAGCTCCCAACCCTTCCTGGGGAAGCAGCGTAGGTGGTAATCCACTGGGTTGGGGAAAGAAAATCAGTGCCAGCATTTGTGGGGGCAGGAGAAAAATGGATCCTGGTCCCTGTTTCAAGGAGTCCTAGTGAACTTCAGTCAAAAGCTATGCAGCAGCAGGAGGCTTGCTTCCCACTAACGGAGGAGCAGTGGTGAAGGGAATGTTGCCCATGACACAACAGCCATCTGGAGAGCTGCAAGGTCTTGGTTTGAGCTAGTTTGATCTTGTCACCTTTGTAATTGCGTATGTGTGGTGCTTGACCAGGGACTGGAGAATTTATTGTATCCATCTGAGGTTCTCTGCTGGGACTACCAACAAATGATACTGTATTTTAAGGCAACCATGTTCTCTTTAATTTTATAGGGTTAAAAAAAAATACATTTAAAGCTACTCACACACGTTTTTGTAATATGTTTTTGTAGCCTGTTTTTATACTCTGGCAATTTTCATTTTGGAAATAAACTGGATGCTTTGCCTTAGTCTTCAACAGAGATTCCTAAGCTTCCTTGAAAACAGTGAAAAAATTTAGAGATTTGGAAGAAAGGAGAGACTTCAACAGCAAGATATGGAGCTTCTGATGGGGGATTTTTCTCTGTTGACTATTACATTGTCTCCCTACCAAAATGGTTTTTTTTGGCTTTGAGGCTTGATGAGAGTGAAAGTGGAGCCTAATTTTACACTCAGGTGACAGTGTAAGGTATACAGTAGGAAGCCTTCTTGTATATTGGTAGTGTTGTATGCACATTTTATGTCAGCCTGAGGGACACCAGTAGAAGGTTCAGGCACAAGAAATGCCCTTGAATACTTAGCAAGATCTCTGAACAGTGCAGGTCAGGGGGAAGAATTTTATTTTCCTGAGTCTACAGCCTTCAGCAGAGTTATTGTTTTCAGGTTTCACACACAGAACACAGTGCAAAAGGTGTGGACGCTGGCTTCTTGATGGAATGACTTTTTCAGCTTGCTGTGCAAGAGTAAACTAACTTCAGGCTTTCCAGCTTCATGCTGGAGAGCTGCAGAACCATTGGGAAGAGGACTGCTCATATGAGTTAACCTCCTACATGCTGCAATCTCCCAAAATGCCAGTCCCTCTTACCAAACATTTTAAAAAAAAGCTGTGGTGAGACAAGGCATCAATATTTGGAGCAGGTTTAAAGCTGGGCAAACTGTGGGCATTCTGGTGATCTATGTTTAACTGTTTTTTTGTGTTACATTTTGTTGTTACAAACACACTTGCATGTGTATATATGTATGTATGCATATGTTGTGTTAGGTGTTGTAAAAATAAGAACTGTAGGGCACTATCATGCAGAAATATACATTGTACTGATCAAGTTTTTAAAGCAAGATTAAAGCTCAGTTTCCCTTGGAAATAATGGGGTAAACATGGAAAAATATATGGAAAAAATAGTGGAATAAAGTAATGGTGGCTGAAAATTCCTAGTTGCTTCTGAAAACTTTCAACCAGAAGACCTAAGGCAAATCTTTGGAAAACTGCACATTTATAGCTTTTATTTCCATGTTCTTCCTGTACATTTAGAAACAAACTGACAGTTTTTTTCAATTTATTTTTTTTTGTCTTTTTGGCATGTGGGACTCAAAGCACCACAAGAAAGTCTCTCACCACAAGAAACAAAAGTTGGGAGCCAGGATTCATGAACTCTTTCAAAGGTATGTCAGATAAGGGCTACTTTGTACTTCTATCTAATGTGCTTTCCTTCCAAAAATCTTTCAGTGCTTTATAGATATTAATAAATGGACCTTCTCCCAAACAAAGGACCTCAGGCCTAGAAAAATTAAGCCTGTGTTTTTGAAAGAGACCTCTGTTTTGGATACCTCTGTTTTCAGATATCCAGCTTGGGCTGTAATTTTTAAGTGCTACACACAGTGCACTTCAAAAGGTGACCAAATGCCTTCACCCCGTGCCCTTCATCCCTGCCTCTGAATTACCCTTAGAGAGTGAAGGGAATATGAATTAGAACAATGGTTTTGTAATCAAGCTATACGTGACCTTCAGATAAATACACGCGTCAAATCACCTGTAAAGAAATGAATGGAGGAAATAAATAACCCTCGTGGATACAGCCAAGGAAGCTACGGTCTGCTGTGGCAGCTGATGGGCGTGCTGGTGAGCACAAAAGAGGCTTAACTTTACTGAATAAATTATTCTCTTGAATCTAACACCCAGCAAAAAGGAGGGAAAAGAGAAAAATGGTGCAACCCAAAAAGAGATCAAATGCAGTTATTTAAATGTTTGATGTTCAGTAATGAAACCTGTTTACCTTCATAATTGTGTATTAGCAGCTAATAAAGTCAATAGATACAGTAGTTTAAAAGTAATAAAATCAACAACAAAGTGTATTTAATTTTAAATTGAATTGCAAGCAAATGGGTGTCCTAATGAACCCCTGTGTCAATGCAGCTCTAACCAAATTAAGTGAAATAATTTCCATCATGAGAAACTAATAAGTACCAAGTTCCAAACAGACCACTCTTCTCAAGGAGAGAAGTTAACTTCTCAGATGTTTCAGCTCTACAAATTAGCTAGTGCCATTCAAGAACCATCTTCTGTAACTTCTATTTAGGACAACTGGACTGAAGGTGACTTGACTGCAGGTCAAGGATAAAATTTCAAAGGTGGCTGATCCTGTGCTGCTTGTATTCAGCCTCTAACACTGGAATCTTGTCCTTGATTCTCATTGGTCCTGGCTTGGGCAAAATTCCCGTGTATATCATTGGGACTAGCATCTACATAGACTTTCTGACCGATTCAGCTATTGTCTGGGCATTTACATGAGACAATTCTACGGGTAGAGGAATCTGGAAAACAGTTTAGCTATGCACCAGTAGTAATTTTACTGATGTAAATTTATACATATATGTTTCTCAAAAAAAAAAAAAAAAAAAAAAGGCACAGGCAAGGTCTGAGTAGAAACTGATTTCTGATTTGTAGCAATGCGGCAGGAACTTGGAGATAGGAGCATCTGTTTCAGAAGAGGGTAATTTGAACTATGTGTTACCTAGCTATCATGTATGCATGAGTCTGGGATGTTAAACATGGTTGCAGAGACTCTATAATTTTCTTGATAAAGGACCATGTTTATTTTACAAATGTGGAGGTTTCTCATATTATCACCTAGCACGCAAAGGAGGAAACAGAAATGAAGACACTGGAGTTGAATTTTCCAAAAGCAAGTCAGAAAATACTGAAGGAATGCTTCAGAAGTTCAGTCCAAGGAAATGTTGTTGCTGCCTTTGATATTTTTTGGTTTTTTGAATGAACACCAAATGTTAGTATTTTCTTTTGTGGCTAAAAACTTAACTGGATACATGACTGGGCAACGTAAGAGAGCTGGTCCTCTGATTATCTGTGTGGTAGATGCCCAAGCTAATCCTGAATTGCAACTGTACCCGATGCAGTGATTTCTCCTTGACTCCATATGACACCTCTCAGTACGCTGCAGGCAGCTCCCTTGACCTCCAGGGTGGCACGTGGCTGGCCCTCGGCCACAAACAGCCTGCTTGGCCTCCAGCTCCTGAGAGCTGCTGTGTCTTTCTCTGTGCTCTGCTGCCTGTCCTGGCTCCACCTGCAAGTGTGGCTAGAGCACTGCCAGTGCTGGCATGGCCGACTGACCCTCCCCAGCCTTTTAAAGCCGATTGTAGAAGCAAGAGTTGAAGTATTTTGAAGCCAGCAGAACATCTACAGATGTTTTTACTTAGGGCCATTTCTATTTAGACACTGCTCCTGAGTAGGGACAGAGGAATTGGTCGTGGTTCTAAGTCTGTTGAAAGATCGGACGGGATTGCCAAAGCATACAGCTTTGTACTGCTTATTGTAAATTACTTAGTTTTGCATTTGCTCCTGCGGTGCTTTAGGAACAAGGCTTTCTCCAAGGGGTACCGTGCCTTTTGCGTATCCTGTGCACTAAGCAGGGCAGCCCTGCATTATTCTTGCACTATTTGTTGGTGTTCTGTGTTGCTACAAGGACCTCTCTTTTTTTGGAAAAAACCAATCCACCCTTTGAGTTGAGTATATATACTTACCCCCAAAATTACGTTGACTACACAAGAAGTTAACATATGAATGCCAAGGAAGGTTTAATGGTTCACATACAGCTGAAAATTTGTGTATGTGCATGTATGTGTGTGTATATACACATACGTATGACTGATATAAATTGTATATATACTTTATCTGTATATAAAAAAAGATATTTTAGAAGATTTATAAATTATATAAGATTTATATACACACTCTTAAGATTTTTGGGAAGAAGAAAAAAGTAAGATTTCTATATATATAATAAGACTTTTTTCAGTGATTTATAGCAACCCAATCCCCAAGGAGGCAATGGTTTCCAAAAACCTCTTCAAGTTTATTGAAGCCGTCAATCAGTCCTCAAAGTGTCAACAGAGGCAATGGCTTCCTACTTTAATATTCTTAATCTAGAACCTAAACTGCAGTGCCAGACAGAGCTGGCTATACACAGGCAAGTGAAACTTTAGGTTCCTGATGTTGACCTGTGGCACAGACTGACAAATATTAGTCATGTTACTGGGACTGTGACTGCATTTTTCGCACACTGCTTTTTGAAGCCTGGCCATTTCTCTGCTTTAGCACAGTGTTGTTTCTCCTGGGTGCCCTGCAAAGCTTATGGTATATTCAAGGAAAACACGAAACTGTGATATATTTCCAATGGCAAGTGCTTTCTGTGTGCATTGTAGTTAATTTCTTTTCAGTTCTTCCCTCTTCCCCTTCTAACTGCTACAGAGTGGGAAGTCAGCCACTGAAAGCAGAAGACAACAGATGTGAAGAAGAAACGGTAGCCAGCTTTGGTAACTTTGCAGGTGTGAATATTGGATTAAATGGAGCAGCAGGATCTTGTGGGAAGGTGAGGTTCTCCACGAGTGCTCTTTTCCCTGATGTGAACTGTGAAATGACTAGATCAATTGCATTGCATTATTACTTCCTTTTTTTTTTTTTTTTCCATAGTTTAAGAGGATAGAATTTAACAGGTTTCAGAATATGCTTTCCAGCAGAAGTAACCATATGCTTAAAGAGAATGTCTAAAGCTATTAATGATAAATCATTTGGGCATGGCAAGAGTTCTTCAAAACAGTTT